ACACATTCAGCAGTAATTACAGAGTTTTACAGCTCACGGCCATCAGCATATTCTCAAGGTTGGGCAATAAAGATAAAAGCAGGATGCCATGAACAGGACTCCAAGGTCTGCCAACTTCACTCCAAAAACCCACCCCCCCCCCCCCCCGATTCTCATCAGCTGTTTCACATTTTGCTGTACCACATGAACTGTTCATGTTGCATAACAATTGGCAAAGTAGCTGAAAAGAGCAAAAAGGGGAGGAAGCTCAGGTGACAGAGAACTGTAATCAGTTTTTTAAAACTGTGCATGCATCACTGATTTTATTATATGAAATTAAACTCTGCACTTTTTCCATCTTGTTCTGTTGTATACTGAGAGCTCCACTTTGATCATTTAGACGCAAAGCAGAAGTCTGAAGACCTTTAACTAAGGACGCTGTGGATATTTTTATAGCATTACTGTTTCAGTTTGTTGCAGTCAAGCTAGTCAACATTGACTTAGCCAGTATTGTTACTATTTCATGTTTGTATCCTTATAAGGTTAATGACATTCCTCTGGTGAGGCGCTCTAAGTATCTGTAAATGCAGAAAAGAAAATTTAAATCTTTGGCTTGTTAAGCTTTTCATTACACTCCTTGTGCAAATCGTCTTTAAAAATATTTATGACAAAGTGATAAATACCTGTTGTTACTGCCAATTTGCCTGTATTCCGTGTAGCATGCAGCTATGCTAGCTGCAGGCTCCCTACCTGCTAAGTGCAGTTGCATACTGCCATTATGTATTTCATCAAAGCTGTGGCACATCATCCTCTCCTCTTTTGTGTGTTAGAAGCACATGTCAAAGGTTGTGGGCCAGTTATTTTTAATTTATTAACATGGGAGCCTTGCTGTTATGCGATTGTATAGCATTACAGCAGCAGATATGCTGTGGCTTTTTAGTACCATCCACAGGCCCAAGCACTTCCGAAGTAAAGAATGGGATTGTTATCACATGACCAAAAACAAAGAAAATAAGGTAATTATGCAATTGTTCTGGTGGAGTTTTTTTTTTTTTTTTGCTGTAGTTCTCTGATTGGGACCCTAACCATTACTGCAGGAGGGGAGTGAAACCTTTACAGACACTTTAAATGTTATTAAGTATAAGCACTATTTCTAATCTCCTCTGTAAATACCACAAATGCTGCCTTACTTAGCTGATCTAACTAGTACATCAGCAAGGCTAACCGTTTAAAATGACAATTATTATTTTAAGGTATTTTGAATAAAGTTTCATAGTTTTTTTTATGACCATCTGTGTTTGTGAATTTCTTGATCCTATCATAGATATACTGTATATGCACTTTTTGAAAGTCCTCTTATGGCCTGGGCAGTATGTCCAAGAGTTTTTTCTATTACATGTATGTCATGTGATGCATGAAATGAACAGGAGGCTGAGAAAGCTTGCAGAAACATTTAAAGTTTTAATTTTCGAGAAAATGTACACACTATGTAGTGCCAATCTAAAATGTTCTCATTTGTGCCCCATGCATAGATAATACATAGGCTTTTCATATGGTGCAAAATTCTGTATTTTAAGGACTGAGCACTTCTTAGTTTAACTAAGATATCGGGAATTATTAATACAAATATGGAGGAACTAGAATTGTTTTTTGATGCACACAAAGCCATATTTTTCCAAGTCCTGAAGCTATCATATCAACAGGATCACTACTTATGCGTGAACATTTAAAAAATGTTTCAATGAACGGAAAAAAAACTACGCACAGGAACAGAACAAAGAGTACATTAAAGCAGTTATTTTTTAAGGGCTACTCTAAGGCATGTGTGGGACTGAATCTGCAACTGTAATTAAAAAACTAAAAACAGATAATGTTAGTCTTAGAGGTAATGTTCTCACAGGTGTGATGTGTGTATTTCCCTCTGAAGCGCAAAACAAATTATTATTATTATACAGTATTTATAAAGCGCCAATAGTTCGCTCAGCGCCAACAAATGGAGCATTAACATCCCAGTGATCATGTTTTGAGGCATAAAAAAGCATACATTTTTCTATTACAGTGCATTGACTAGAAGCTTTACTATGGTACACTGAAGTATTTAATATTTAGTGCTACCTGGGCCATTTCTTAGAATTCATTTAAGGGACAAAGGATTTATGCCCCATTCACAACTGCACGTTTTTTGCACGACATCACAGGGCAGCCCATTCACTTGAATGGACTGCCCTGCAAGCAACAAATGCAGCAAAGTAGATAATTTTGATGATTTCCAGTCTCTGCATTTTACCACATTTCCTAGCCGTGTTCAGGGTGTTACTAACAATTAATGGCACTGCAAGTGCGACATGTGTTTTTCGTACGTTTCTGCATGTGTTCCTGGAATGCACATGTGTGAATGGGGTCTTAGAGATAATAGGGTTATACTTCTAAATACAGATATGGAATATAGAATAAAGCAGAAAAGAACAGTGACATGGTAAACAGTCCTTTGGGAAAGAAAATCTTGACTGTCTGGGAGTGCCCATGGAGCCTCCGCGCAGGAGTCTGATCAGGTGGAGTACCAAATCCACCTGGGACTAGGAGCAGTAGTGGAAAGTTGTTACTTCACACTTAATAGTGAAACATTGCCAACACTTTCCTAAAGTAAGCTGACCATCACTCAGTCAGAATCAACCCTTTCTGTGCTAAGCCAATGATACACCCCTACTCTAAGTTGATCATAGCTCAGTCCTTCAGATTGAACCCTTTTTGCTTTAAAACAAAAAAAAAAGGGATAAGAGCACCCAACAGTCTTGACAGGTAACACCCGATGCTCTGCCCACACAGAGACACACAGTCTTTTGAGACTGGGCCACACCAGAGGCTGTACCACAGCTCTGTAACTGGAAAGTGTTCTATGACTAACACAATACAATGAGGCCTGGAAAGAGCCTCAATGGGGAGCCCAGAGCACATTTCAGGACACATTTCAGGCTAGGCACACTGGACTGGATTCAGGTACTGCCTCCAAAGTTACGGTTGAGGACACACCAATCAGAGAGCTGCATATTGAGGCCATCTCAAACAGGAAAAAAATTATTGAATAAAAAAAATCTTGAAAAAAAAAAAAAGGAAAGAACTCTTCTCAGTACAGAAAAGATAACACTCCTCCTAGGACACTAGCAACAAACTGAAGCATGCTGGGTGTGGGAGGGATAGTTTTTTTTTTTTTTTAATTGCCAGTGGCCAGATCCTCCTGTAGGTATCAGAATAACCCAAATGCTTCTCTCAATTACCAAGAAAAACAAGCAATCTTACTCTTTTAGGAATTTGTCAATGAAAAAGGTCTCTGTTGGCAAGAAATGGCCTTACCAGCTCAACATTAGCTCCAAGGTGCTATGAGTGCTCCCTCCCACCGCTTCTTCTCGACTGGGGGGGAAAAAAAAAAAAAAAAAAAAAAAATCACAAAAATGTTTGCTTAATCCCAGGGAATTAATAATGGAGAAGCAGCCACATGAAGAAAATTGATTTCCAAAGCCTTGTAATCAGCTCTTCTACACCAGGTCACGGACATAATATAGAAATCAATCTGCATTCAAGAAAAATGTTTAAAGAAAAATTTACACTGACTAAAATAGACAACAAAGGCTTTGTTCTGTACATGGAATCCCTAAAAAGCTAAAATACCACAAAAGCCATGTTCATTGCATGAAATATTTCCAAAGATATTTATAGTTATGAAAATAGACACATGTTCAAAAGACAAAAAGGTAAGTTCTTTTATTGCACCCAATTTCTGTTTTTATGCAAACTGCCTATGTATATGGCAGAGAACCTTGCATGGCACATATACGTGACTTACTGTAAATCATGTAGCTGTAAACCAACTACAAAACTATGCACAGACTGGGCTCTAACATTTCTCCCACCCCATTACAAAAATACCTAAAACAGCATATGACGCAAATAAACCCGGTATAAACAGTCTGCCCAAAACTGATATTTGGTATACGGTATAGTATTGCTGGTGGGTTCATTTATCAACTTGCTTATCTTTCTTTTGGGGATTCCCTTTCTGCACTCTCTTTGCTGGGTATCCCGAACTATACCACCACAGCCAGGAAGTCTTATTTCTGTTGCATGATAAACTTTTCAGAGACCCTGATAAAATCTTTCTAATGTAACCTTAAAGACTAAAATAATGTGAAATTTGAGAACGTCCTGTAATGGTCAGTGAAGCGAAGAACCAATAGACTTCCTTAAGAGATAATGGTTGATTAAACCCAGCAGCAACTATCCAATACTAAAATCTAAAATTTTAGTGGACTAACGATTTCAAAGAAAGTTTTTCCACCACACGAGACTGGAATTCTTGGAGTTGAAGCCACTAACTTTGTGATATTGATAAATGATCTTTCTACATACTCAGCAAAACCACAGGACACAAACCTCTGAAAACTTTGTATTCATTTCACAATTATAATTTAGATATAATCTTTAAAACATTATTACTGATATATAAAAGTATCAACTACATTTAATAAATTCTTTTTTTTATAAGCTATTACTTTTAACTTGTTGGAACCAGCCAGAACTCTTTAAATGTTATTATATAGTTCCCAAAACAGAAATAAAGCCAAGTTATCTTCTATGACTCAAAATACACTATATGGCTTGTAACTTAGGTAGACGTTTTATGTCATGTCTAAAAGCTAAAAATGAAAGCAAATCAAATTACACATTGGTCAGTTTCTAATTCATACCAATAGCACACAAATGAAAAAAAAAAATATATATATAAAAAAAAAAAATCTATTTTCGTTCCCGTATATGGGTGCAGGGTTTAAAACAACATGCTTGTATCAGTTTGATTTGGCACAATCAACAGATATAATGCTCACTATCGTAAATGCTTATTGTCTTCTTAGGCAGTAAGATGAACAACTTAAAAACAGTACAATTCAAAATTTACTACCAAGATTCAGAATATATTCTACTGTTGAAAAGTGCAACAATATCTTCCTTTACGGATTTACAAGGGATTAGTATAGGTAGTTTGTAGTAATAAATGGGTGGCTACCCCCAACACGATTCAAATGAGTCATAGCTCGATCATAAGCCACCTGTACAGACTTGCGGATACTTGGCTTTCGACCTTCCAGCATTTTCAGCTTGTCAACGGTATCATCAACTCCCAAAGGTAAAAGCTTGTCACTGGGAAGCCATTGCCTAAAGCCAAGAGAAACAGTCCTTTATTAGCTATGAAAATAACATTTAAAAAGGGGCTGACCACCCTTATATATAGACATATTGAAGTGATCTCAAGTGAGACTCAGGTGATACACAGAGATGAAACAAATCCTCCTTCATAAGTTGTACTTGTTTATCTGTAGCCCTCTCTTCCCTATAGCCTTTCAAAGTACACAGTTTTCCCAGCACTTCTGAGCTTCAGGAAACAAGAGATGGGGATATGATGTCACACACTGCACAAAACAGACAGGAGAGCAGTGTGTAATCTGAGACTTGAGTGGAGGGAAAGGACACCCCCTACAGCCTAGGCCAAAAGTTTTGAGAATGACACAAATAATTTTAACAGTCTGCTGCTTCACGGTTTTTAGATCTTTTTGTTAGATGTTACTATGGTATACTGAAAGTATAATTACAAGCATTTCATAAGTGTCAAAGGCTTTTACAATTACATTTTGCTGCAAAGAGTCAATATTTGCAGCGTTGACCCTTCTTTTCAAAACCTCTGCAATTTGCCCTGCCATGCTGTTAATCAACTTCTGGGCCATATCCTAGATTGATGGCAGCATAATCAATGCTTGGAGTTTGTCAGAATTTGTGGGGTATTTTTATTCACCCGCATTTGAGGATCAACCACAAGTTCTCAATGGGATTAAGGTCTGGGGAGTTTCCTAGCCATGGCTACAAACTTCCAATATTTTGTTTCCCAACCTACTTAGTTATCACTTTTGCCATAAGGCAAGGTGCTCTATCATGCTGGAAAAGGCATTGTTCATCAACAAACTGTTGGGAGAGATTACTCTCGAAGGATGTTTTTGTACCATTTTTTATTTATGGCTGTATTCTTAGGAAAATTTGTGAGTGAACCCACTCCCTTGGCTGAGAAGCAACCCCACACATGAATGGTCTCAGGATGCTTTACTGTTCGCATGACACAAGACTGATGGTAGCGCTCACCTTTTCTACTCCGGACAAGGCTTTTTCCGGATACCTCAAAACATTCAGAAAGAGGATTCATCAGAGAAAATTACTTTACCCCAATCCTCAGCAGTCCAATCCCTGTACCTTTTGCAGAATATCAGTGTGTCCTTGATGTTTTTCCTGAAGAAAAGCTGCTTCTTTGTCTTTTGGAGGCCATCCTACAAAAGTCTTTGCCTCACTGTGCTTTCAGATGCACTTACACCTGCCTGCTGCTATTCCTGAGCAAGCTCTGCACTGGTTGTACCCCGATTCTGCAGCAGAATCAACTTTAGGAGTTGGTCCTGGACTTTCTTGGGCACCCTGAAGCCTTCTTCACAACAACTGAACCTCTCTTCTTGAAGTTCTTGATGATCCGATAAACGGTTGATTTAGGTGCAATCTTAGTAGCAGCAATATCCTTGCCTGTGAATCCCTTTTCATGGAAATGATGACTGCCAAAGAATGGTTAGCTTGTTTATAAAAGACCAAGCAGTTGAATATGGAAACAGCAATCATTTGGACTAGATTCACAGTGTTCTTTATAGGTTGTAGAGTGTGTTATAGTGCACGTGTAGGTGTGAATGGGCTCATATAGTTTCCTTTTTAAATTGCACTAAATTGCACAGCATAGAAGCAAACCAGCAACATAGGAAACAATGGGATTTCTACCTAAAATGCATTTTCATGTAGCAAAATGCACATGTTCTGCTGCAATAAAACATAAAAGTGTAAACACTGCATTATTCCATTAATCTTTTTTTTTTTTTTTTTACAAATATGAACTAGAATAGAAAAAGCTCAAGAGCTTGTTCATACCATGAAACACTGAACTGCAATGCATGCATTATTAGCTCTGTTCGCTTTCACATCCAGGGTGAGCCATTGAGTCCCATATATATATTTGATTAAATACTTTGTATTGGATTTATTAAAGTGGTTTGGCAATTGTATAATTGTTTTGATATACCTTTAGACTGCCTCGGCGGTTGATATCTCTTCAAAAATCTCCCCTGAAGAAGCCCGTGAGGGCGAAACATGTAGGGAGTAACTACAATTATATAATCAAGTTTGAATCTCTGTTCCACTCTTAGTGCTGAAGTTTTTATCTTTCTGTATTTTTTCCTTTTTTTGTTTTTAAAAAATACAAAAAAATGATATAACTTTTTAATATGTTTGGTATTCATGTTCATGCACCCTGAAAGTCCCATCTTCTCTATTGAATATATGCATTATTGTGTGTTGAGGCACATTATGTTAGCCAGCCCAGTAAAAATTAATGGGCTGTAACACACCTCATTGCATGACAATTTAGTTGATTTGGAGCTGATAACAGATCTCTTGATTTGGAAGACTCTGTGCAATCAAAATTACCTTTCTCCCCAAACTCCTTTACCATTTGAGTATTACCAGGTTTATCTTCTGATCTCTGCAAAATCTAACACTAAAAATTTAACTGGAGCTCTACACAACCCAGTGTGAACTGAACCACTTTATATTTCCATAAGTTAAATGGCGGAATGCGATTTCCACTTTTACTAAGGTGCTAAGAAGCAGAACACAGTGTTCTATTGGCATTACTACATGCTAGCCAAGAAACTCTTATCTGGATCCTTCTTGACACAACTGAAGGTGATCCTATTGCTGTCTCTTCGTTACTCTAGTTACCAACACACACATGACCCATGACCATGCAACCCTCTCTAGCTCATTCTCTTACAGTCTAGGATACCATAACATATTCAGGGGGCTTAATTGCTCCCCATGTACCTCTATTGAATCTCGTAAAAAGCCTCTTGTTCCCTCTGGCAAATAATTCTCTAAGCAGGTTTCAATTGTGGCTCTCGAAGGAATTTTGTGATGTTTACTTTTTATTTACCCTTGAGGGTATTTTTTTTTATTATCATTTTAATTTTTATTTAAATTTTGCATCAATATTAACACAATCACATAATCTTCGGTTACGTGTCTCTCTATTCCTAGATAAGCCAGCCACACACTACATGATCATAGAGAGGCATGCCTATATGTTAAAATCTCAAGTGAAAAAAAAATTATTATGGCAACTCACCCTTCATAAATCCAACCCCTAAGCAATCAAAGACAGAGAGAAAAAAAAAAAAAAAAGGAAGGAATAATTTTTCTCTCTCACCTCATTGGCCACCTCACAAGAAGGATTTGCTCCTCAGCAGGGTAAATGATTAAGAGTTCAGGGAATATGGTTAAAATGACCTTATTGGCCTTTTGTTCCCTGAATATTCAGGGTTTTAATATTCCTCAAAAAAGAAGCCAGGTATTACATCACATGCACAAACAGATGGTGCAAGTCTTCTTTCTTCAAGAGACACATTTTTAAAAAAAATAAGGCCCCGAAACTCATATTAAGATACTATAATCAATGGTACACTAGGCATAACTCAAAAACTAAAAAAGAGTTGCAATAGGATTTCATTCTAATCTTCCAGTACAGGTTTCCTCAGAGGCTGGAGACCCGGAGGGGAGATACTTGTCTGCAGATTTTATGATGTGACTTTCCCATTAGTTTATGTATAGCAGTGTTTCTCAACTCCAGTCCTCATGGACCCCCAACAGGTCATGTTTTCAGGATTTCCATTATTTTGCACAGGTGATTTGATCAGTTTCACTGCCTTAGTAATTACCACAGCTGTTTCATCTGAGGGAAATCCTGAAAACATGACCTGTTGGGGGTCCATGAGGACTGGAGTTGAGAAACACTGATGTATAGTTACCCAACAAAAGGTCAGAAATTGACATTTCAGAAAATTATGACTACAATAGAACAAGTAAAGCAAGGCTCATTGTGGGAGGTGACTTTAATCTGGTGTTAGACCCAAAGCTATACTGTTCTAAGAGGAAAACGGATCTGCCCGTTGTCACGATCGCGGCGTCAGACCCCAGACCTTCTCACCAAACTTGTGACCGAAGGACTGGCCGATCCAGACCTCGATGTGACGTGCGTAACAATGCCACACCCAGCTGCACCCTACACAGCGATTTTGCAGCTAATGGATTTCAATCTGTGCCTGCAGCCTGGATGCGCTTATTACTGGGTCAAGTTAATTACTCAACTGACCCTTACACACTGCCACCACCCTTTTTTTGTACAGAGAAAGAGGAAACTCTCTTTATCAAATATACACTATAACGATTGAAAAGTCATCTGTCCAATACGGTCACCGCAGGCCGATTGGGCAGAGGATTAAACAAACACAGTAGCGTCTCTTTAGAAATACGTAAATTGCAATTAAGCGCCTCAGAAACAGTCTAACACTTTTAGAAAGAAACATTTATTACTAAAAGAGTCAAACAGGTGCAATAAAATATTTACAGAAAAAGATGTAACTAAGATTTTTATATATATATATATATATATATATATATATATATATATATATATATATATATATATATATATATATATATATATATATATACATACACACACACACACACACAAAGAACCATAGCACCGAAAAGAGAACGGAGAAGTTAAAGGGTTAAGTTACTTGCCATTTAAGCCTTTGATGTAAGCAGATCCAAGTTGCAGAGCGAAAGGGTCTCCCCAGGTGGTATTGATGTTACAAAATGGGAGATGTCTTCAACTTATTTTTTAGGCCTGCTAGCCTGTTTTTTAAAGTCCCTCAGCAGGGGGGTTGCTCTGAGTAACTGACCAATACTCTGTTTAGGGAGGGATCGTCGGGCAGAACTCTGAATTAGAACCAACATCTTTCATAATCCATATTTTGGCCTATAACTTTCCAGCTGCACTAGCGGCAACCTCTCCGTGGTATTTTATTATGCAAATAGGTCTAAGGATCATGTAGATATGAATTATGAGATTGTAGATCGCACGGTTCACAAGATCTATGTTTCTGCTTCCCTGAATGTGCGAAACGAATGGAGAGACCTATCAGAACGTCCATCTGCGCGTTGGCCATCTGACGAGGTGCCCGGTTTTTATGTAAGTCTTCCATATTTCAAGATATAATAACCAGCACACACAC